ATATATATATATTATAATCAGTTTATATATATATATATATATATATTTATGAAATATCTTAATCAGATTTGTTTTATATTTACTTATCAAAGATTTTAATCACATTTCGTTTGTATATTTCAGATATCCTGTTGATGAACGAGGTACTGTTAAATACACACACTGCAAATGGCTTCTCCTCAAGAAAAGCCATAATGTTTGCCATGGTTTATTTAAACAAGCTTGGATAGGCCGACGCAGAGAAACTACAGAACTAAGTATGGGATAGATCGGCTGTCACTTCCGTCAATTCGTGCATGGCACAAGAAATTTATAGAGACAAGGACAGTGTTGAATAAAGGCGCAATGAACGACTAAGAACATCTGAGGAAAACATCGATCATGTAAATCGAGTACCGTCTTGATGAAACTAATGATGCTCATATAGAGGTGTATTAAATTAGTATTAAAAAAAACGTCAATAACTACTCCTCATTTCGTAGCAGTTTCCATATATTTGTCTTTTTATTTGCTTTGGTAATTTTTTTTTAATTTTAAAAAGAATTTGTTGACAACCTGTATGCGCAAAATATATATATATATATATATATATATATATATATATATATATATATATATATATATATATATATATATATTTATATATTTTTCATATGTATGTATATTTTCCACTAATATTATCAATATATAAACCCCTTCCCCCCATCTCTCCTAAAACCCCTCTCTGTTAAGGTTTAATCTCCCTCCTCCTCATACTTACACTCTCTCTAAATTCTGTTTTTATTTCCGGAGTGAGTTTTTTTCTGTTTTCTTTTTGAATTTGTAGGTCTGATGAATTGGATCGCATTTACGATTCCAGTGGAATAAATTATGACCATGGAATATTATTGTTTAAGCCTTTTTATTATATCCTTACTCTGTCCTAGTCATTGAGTTCTACTTGGATTCTTCCTCTTGGAATTTTTTTTCTAAAAATATACATGTATGTGTATTTATATATTTTGCATATGTATGTATATTTTCCACTAATATTATACATATATATATATATATATATATATATATATATATATATATATATATATATAATATATATATGTGTGTGTGTGTGTGTGTGTGTCGCAGTGATTACCAAATATGAAATTAATAGCACGCTGCGTTGCTGGCGGTAAAAAAAATAAATTCGTCATGACTGCCTCAAGAAGTGCCAAGATTAAAATCAGAGATTTCATGAGCGGACACGTTTTCGAAAGTATATATAATTTAAATCATTTCTTCTGATTTATGTTCATTGGATGAAATTCGACATTTTCACTGACTGTGCAAAACGATGTCCTTTTGGAATTTCTTTTTAAATAAAATAATTATAAATCACTTTTTTCAAAGAAAATCAGTACCCTCAACCTCTTTTTTATGGTGATTTAGTTAGTAGCACTAATGTGTATAGGTTAATTTCGAAAAAAGAATCCAAAAATGTATTCACCAGTATGATTTTCAAAGAAAATGAGATTTTGTGCTCCCTTTTTTTGTATGATGTTCCACTTTTTTTAATGAACAAACTAATCTCGAATGTACGTTATTTACATTATTCGAACTATTGTCTTCATCTTTGTCGCCATATTTATTACAACGTTTCGGCCATTGTACATTCCAGCAACCTTCAGCTCGTTGGAATGAGGTATACTGTTCTAGTTCCAGCTATCTGTTATCTGCTGTTAATTCTCCCCTTCAAATTTTACGCTGCCTTAACCGGGTATCGAACTAAAATTCTTTGGGTCCTGTCACTGAATCAAACTAACGCCTTTATCCACTGTGCCATGTGTCCTTGAGGATATCGGTGTATGAATTTCTGCGTATTAAAAAACTAATGTCTTCAGCAACTACTTTTTTTTTTCACTCATATTGCAATTTTTTCTGTTATCATTGCATGTTTTTACCCGAGCTTTTATTGCATTTTTTGTTGTTATTATCGCTTTTCACTGGCACTTCTTATTACTGGTTTCCATATTCATTACTATGCTGTGTCGGATCAGGTCGTTATATTAAAGATATGGCGACAAAGATGAGGACAAGAGTCCAAATAATGTAAATAGTGTACACAATACCTCATCTCAGAAATATAGACAGATAGTAATCTCGAATGACTTAGATATTATGATGATGCAAAATTGTTTTTCTTATCTAAATTAGATCACAGTTTTTTTAAAATCACATTAATAAAAAAAGGTGTCTTTCTACATTTAAAATCATGATGTACAAACATTACGTTAGTCATGAAAAACATGTAATATTCGGTAATATTTTTTTATTATTTTTTACAATCAAACCGATTTGCATAAAATATCCTCCGTATACATCTCGTCATTTTCCTATTTTTGGTAACGTTCCTGTTTCTGTATCCGAATAAAAATCGGTGAGGTTTGTGTTGGGGATCGGACATGTTTCCAATTATTACCATTTTTACTATTCCATTCTTTATGCATATTAGCTTATTTCCACATTTTGAATGTTATCTCTTCCATTACTTTTAAAAATACGTTTCATCATTTTCAACAGTTCATATGTTGCTTTTCTATATCTTTACTTATTTTACTTACATTTGTGATGCATATTATACATACTGCTTCATTATTGGTACAGGAGTCGATCGGTATCACAGGTACAAATATCTGCTAATGCAAAATGTATGTTAATAAGGAAATGAAAACCATTTGTATATTCGACAAACATTACTGTGATATTTTTTTTTTCCATTTCTCCATAGAGATGTTCTGGAGACGTACGAGTGCCAGCCTAACCTCACAGGAGAACCAAGCGTCAAGGGACGGGATACAACAATGTCTATATTGAAGAAGAGTCCACGATGTGTGGAACCGATTCTTGTATATATTGAGATGTTGACATAGACTGATATTCTAAAACAAACATATCAGTGGATTTACTAAAACAACACAATCTGTATAGTTCTAAAACAATTTTCTAAAATGAATTGTTAATAAAAGAAAATGTAAATGTTAAGTTAGATATACAAGGTTTCTCATAATGATGGGACATATTTTAAATGCAAATATACTGGATTATAAAAATGATATAGAACTTCAAATCATTACATTGTTGTTGCAAGAAATCATTGCTAAATATGGTAGATATATACTTGAATAAAATATATCTGTACTTCATTTTTGATAATCAAAATTATAACGAAAACGAATATTATTTAGGATTTAACCAAACAGTTGAAGGAGCTTGTGTTGTAAATTTCAGCGTTGGTGTAATTTGCAGAAGATTACTGAGACTAGTTAAAGTTAGGATTGTAATCAGAGTACATAGTTTTGCTGAACATCAAAACGAGAAATCTTTCAAGACGTATAAGAAAATGGATTTATCAACAGAATGATCAATGCAGAGCTATACTGCATGCACGAGGTGGGTGTGATAATGGTTCGATTCTTGATAAAAACAAAAAAAAATCATCAAACAACACGATTTAGAAGGCGTCACAGGTGAAGTTGGAACAATATTTTGCGCTCATATTATAGACCTATTCAAGATTGATGAAGTTCTTGTAAATGCAGATTATTATTATTTGGTAACAGTCTTTTATATATAAATAGATTTTTTATGACATTCTTAATTTATAGCCAGGTACAACAGGATATCTCTGTGTCAAATGTATAGTTACTATAATATATGTTGTGCACAACGACTAGGCTGCACATATAAATATAGCATACTTTACCTGAACTGAGAAACGTCAGCTGACCTAATCACACCTGAACTCCCAGATGACCGCCATCACACCTGAGCCCCCAGGTGACCGTAATCACAACTGAGCTCACAGGTGACCGTAATCACAACTGAGCTCCCAGATGACCGCCATCACACCTGAGCCCCCAGGTGACCGTAATCACAACTGAGCTCACAGGTGACCGTAATCACAACTGAGCTCCCAGATGACCGCCATCACACCTGAGCCCCAACTGTAATCACAACTGAGCTCACAGGTGACTGTAATCACAACTGAGCTCCCAGATGAGATGAGCCCAAAGGTGACCGTAATCACAACTGAGCTCACAGGTGACCGTAATCAGATGACCCAGATGACCGTAATCACAACTGAGCTCCCACGTGACCTAATCACAACTGAGCTCGCAGATGACCAAATCACAACTGAGCTCGCAGATGACCTAATCGCAACTGAGCTCCCAGATGACCAACTTAGCTCCCAGATGACCAACTCGCAACTGAGCTCCCAGATGACCTACTCGCAACTGAGCTCCCAGGTGACCGTAATCACACCTGAGCTCCCAGATGGCCTAATCACAACTGAGCTCCCAGGTGACCGTAATCACAACTGAGCTCACAGATGACTGTAATCACAAATGAGCTCCCAGATGACCGTAATCACAACTGAGCTCCCAGGTGACCTAATCATAACTGTTTAAATGGGTTTATCAGTGTCTTGCTAGAGTCGCATATGCTCTTATTTCTTCAACGAGTAAACGATTTCCAACTTTTTGCGCTGACAATACCCATGCCACATATTTTCTAATCTCGTCCGTGCTTCCTTCTTAGCGTTGCGTTGATCGTGGCGATAGTCTGTACCGGGTGACTGTATAAAAACTCGACTTCCGTTTTTGAAATTCGTGTTAAAACATTCCAACATAGACATCTTCAGAATGACAGCGAACTTCATTGCTTTGTTTTTTGTTTTTTTTAACCCAGTGAACTTCTTCCCAACAAGCGTTACTTTCTGAAGCAGGTACACAGTAGTTAGACTCTTGTGTTACTATATCGAAGAATTTTGCCAGAATATATGTTACCCACAATGAAGCAGATACTGTACCCAGCAGCACAAAATTAGCATCAACATTATTGCAATTCTATTTTCTGTCAATATATGTGTGGGTGTAACAAAATCAATAGCTAATAAGCAAGCCAGACACAAGTAGTCATACGTAAAATGATTGTTTATTTATTTCTCTACGTTTTCCAGGGATTACGGTCATATCACTTTGAAACACAGGTTCCTGTATGATCACCAAAGTTAAGCAACATCGGGCATGGTCAGTCACTTGATGGGAGATTGCTTGGGAATGTCAGGTGCAATAAGCTTTAATGTTCGTGTGGTGTAATGGATGATAACTTGGGATTGATTATCGGAGAGTTGAGTTCCAATCCATGTCTGTTTCGTTACATTCAGTTACGCGCAATCATCTTTGGGTAATGCATTAATCCACCTCTTCTCCTCACAGAAATCGGTTAAATATTATTGATTGTATCACTAAATTATTATTATATCCCCCGTCTCAAATTTTAGAATCTAAAAATATTTATGGCTTTAAATAACCTGAAAATGCTTGATAAGCTGTGGAAAACGAATCATTTATTCAGTCAGGCAACGTTGCCTGTTGATATCGGTGAGAGTGTGCATGGAATTAGGTCTTCCTTTTTTTTCAAACGGAGATCTAATTCTCTCGAGGTCGTAACATACTCTCTGTCTTTTCCTTGACGAGGAACGCGCTTATATATCATCTTATCATCAGTTTGTCCCACGTGTCCACATCCGAAGCCCACTAAAGAAATTATTGTCTCATTTTTTTTATGAGGTTAAGAAAAAATATGACGCCATTTTTCACAGAGTTATCAATGCATATATATTATGAGAAACCATCAAATTATTTATTCTTCGTTGAAGCATTAACTTTGAATTGTTTTACGGAAATTTGTTGAATTATCTCCCAACATTAAATTATTCCCCAAAATTGACAATGACATATTCTAGTTGACTGGCATATATGAATTTAAGCACTAAGATGCTAATAAAATCTCCCTCATGATCTTCTAATAATGGCAACAGTAAAATTTACATTAACTTAACGTGTTTATAATGAACACTTCTGTCTGAGACACATGCTGTGGTTTTTTTTCTATGGTCTAATTTAATTAGTGCAAATGAGAGGTCATTATTTTGTCTGATTTGTATGTTACATTTATTTTAAGTTTGGGAACTCTCTCACCTCTTCGAATTCAGATATTTTCAGGCACATTAGACGTTAATATCTTGAAAAGGTTACTTTAATTATCCATTCTTCACAAAGCGCAGTGTTCGTGCCGCATGAGGTATCAACAAAAACGCTGGTGGGGGATCATGGCCATTGATACTACTTCCTGTGTCTGTTCGGTTCTACAACTACAAAACTGTTCAAATATTAAAGGAAACTAGAGCTAAAAAAAAAAAAAAAAGTAATGTAATGTTCATTATGCTCCAATTTATCAACCGAGAGTCATATGTGAAAATTCTTCAAGATGTAGATATAAAAATCCTTAGAGCAACATTAGGGTAAAATATTACGATTCATTCACAGAACTAACAAATTGGAACATGATAGACTACAATTCCTTTTAAGAATTTCAGCACTCATTGTTTGTATTCAGCGATTGGAATAATGAAAGCATGTACATAGGTAAGAGCCTGATATGTTCATAAATTTTTATATTCTAATTTTTTATTACACCTCTTATATGAATTGGATGTTTTTACATTAATTCAAATATAACAGGTATATATATATATATATATATATATATATATATATATATATATATATATTAATTTCAATTAAAAGGTGCAATTATAATTTACAAATTCATGAATCATTGATACAAAAAACAATATTCCGTGAATATGGCATGAACTATATTGTTCAATAATTACAGTAACGTCACACTTATTATCCGAGAGTTGCACGTTGGATTAGTTATTTTAATTTCAATTAAAAGGTGCAATTATAATTTACAAATACATGAATCATTCATACAAAAAACAAATATAGAGGTTAATGATTTAAATAGCGAGAATACAACGTCGCAAACAATATAAATGAGATACATCAACCCCGAACCTGTATATGAATGATATGATCCCTGTTTATAAATTCCAGTTGCATAAGGTATTTTTAAGTTTTTACAAGCTTTCGTCTGTTCCTACAGACATCATCAGGTATGGAAGTAGATTTTGTTCTTGTTTTTACTTCTTAATAATAAGAGGACAACGAAAATAGAGATGAAATCCAAAAAATGCTATGAGAAATGTGTTATTGTTTTGGAACGTGCGGCCGCAACACTAAGTTTGAATTTAAATTTTAAGGTTGTGCGTTTTTGTACAAATATAGCAATAAGAGAATTCTTTTTTACTGGTAGATTTTCCGTGAATATGGCATGAACTATATTGTTCAATAATTACAGTAATGTCACAGAATTGCACGTTGGATCAGTTATTTTAATTTCAATTTTAATTTACAAATTTATGAATCATAACAATAACACATTTCTCATAGCATTTTTTGGATTACATCTCTATTTTCGTTGTCCTCTTATTACTGAGAATAAAATCTACTTCCATACCTGAAGATGTCTGTAAGAACAGACGAAAGCTTGTAAAAACTTAAAAAGACCTTATGCAACTGGAATTTATAAACAGGGATCATATCATTCATATACAGGTTCGGGGTTGATGTATCTTATTTATATTGTTTGCGACGATGTATTCTCGCCATTTAAATCATTAACCTCTATATTTGTTCTTTGTATGAATGATTCATGGATATATATATATATATATATATATATATATATATATATATATATATATATATAATATTTAAACACGTTTCATTAAATAATATAGACAAGTGTTGTCTATTTATTTTATGTAAAATTTGTTCGTAACATCTGATAAGTTTGATAACATTATCATTAAACGAAGAAAGAAATTCACAATATTGATCCATATTTTTTAATATAATCTAAGCTTTTGGCTTATTTAATATATATATAAATATATATATATATATATATATATATATATATATATATATATATATATATATATATAGAGAGAGAGAGAGAGACAGACAGACAGACAGACAGAGAGAGGGTGTGCGTGTGTGTGATAAAAAGATAGTTTTCGGACATGCTATATTTACTGGTAAAAAAGTGTTCAATATCAGAAGCAGAGCATATGTAAATATTAAAGTGGGCACTGAGAACCACGGCGAGTGGTGGCAGTCTGTTTCATGCTCAAACGCAATCTTTAGGTCTGAATATTGCTCTCAAGCATGAAACAGACGATTTTGAACTTAGAGATCACATGACCAAAATGTTAGGAATGGAGCGCTCATCAATACTAGAAGAAAGTGATAACACTTACTGGAATGGAAAGACATATTTTCCTGAAAACCTGTTTTAATAGAAATATTTGATGATGAATTTCAATCCACACTATCACTCGCTGCTCAATCAATGAATGCCGAACGTTTCCTTGTAAGGAAACTTTTAATATAATTACCATTTCTATGCTATTCTGAAATTCTATTACATTTTAAGTCTATTGTTATTAGAGTAACCAGACAGATTAAGATCGACACATATCTTATTTTCATGTTCTCGATATTTAACTCAAGTGAGGCGCGCCTTGAATTTCATTTTCTCACAATTATCCATAAGACCATGAGATTTTCTTCAATATACATATTGTCTAATTGTTTGTTCTTTTTTATTTTCTTTTGAATTTGTCATCAATGCCTGTCAATGATTAATACAGATAGGTCTTTTAATTCTCTTAAAATCTTCTTCCTGTAGAGGTAAAATATATCTGATGAGAAAGTTCATCGTTCTTTATTTTATCCACATAATCCTATCTCTATTTACATACAAGAAATTTATTCCTAACAAAGATTGCAAACTATTCTTATATTTTTTCTCTGTTAAAAAATACTTTTTAGCGTTTCAGGAATTTTCTCCCTACGTAGCATGCCCAATATTTTTCTCTACTTTATGTAAAAAAAGTATAGTTTTATCTGCATTTCTATTGCTTCTACTAACACTATTCTTACGAATGTTACCAGAAATATTGCATTGGTTGTTTCAACATCTTGCATCAACTCCATAATTGTACTGCTAATTACGTTAAAATTTGGTTCCAATATTCAGTATTTTAAATGCCATATCTTTTCAAGATTTATGTGATAATGGCTTTCCATGTATTATTTATTTTTCTATCTGTGATTCACTATGCATTCTTGTAAAAGACACTTGTGTAGTTTCACTCTGCCATCTCGATGGTTTGTAATTTATATTTTTCGTTCTGTTAGAATTGCTGCCATCCAATGCCCGAGAATCCAGTTTAACTTACCATTTATCCCGTACCAGGGGGAGAGAAGAGTTAGATGCAGGTATTTCTAAAGTGCATTTTCCGAATGTGAGCGGAATAGAGCAGTATGCAGTATTTTATTGGTTCGCTAATTACACGACACTTCGAGGTCAAATAAAGAGTAGTCTGGGAAATGTGTACCAGTGTGGTGACAAGTTTAAAAGCAGTAACATTTTGAATTCCAGATTGTAGAAAATGCAAAGGATAAGCCTTATACAACATTTCTGAAAGTAAAGTCAAAGATAATATAAATAATAACTGTTTGGGGAATCATTATCGCCTACCCCCTAAAAAGATATGGCATTTTCTTCTATTCATTTGTTCATAACCTAAATGTTTTTAAACGAAGCGTTAGTATTTCAACTAAAAGAAGGAAGCCGTGAAACATGAAAATAAATATAATATCTGTATATTCAAAAGCAATTATTTTGAAAACTACTAAGTCTAGCTCAATGAAATTGAACAGTTTAGACGTTGAATATCATGTTTATTATGGGACCGAGTTCAATATGTGCACAGCATGTGATATGGCACATGTCAAGTCGGTATTTAAGCTCTTGTACTATGTCTCCAATAACATAGACCAGAGTATTCAGATACCCTCTTAAAAAGAAATCATACTGTTTTCATCTCCAACACGACCGATCCATATTTCTGGCAGATTCTCATTTAAATAACAAAAATGAAACATCAAATATAAAATCTTCATCGGTTTCTATACATTATGTGAAAATTGGAGGTTGTTTCAACAAGAATTGCCAAAATTATTGGCCTGTGAAATGCTGTCAAATTTTTTGGGACACCCTGTATTAAAAAAAAAAACGAATTCAATACTAAGAAAATAAACAGAAATTCA